CATTGACCCAAAAAGATTACCTGTGTTGGCAGTGATGAGCTGCAGGACCAATGGTCGTCTTGTTACAATTCCTGAACCTCGGGGCAGAAAATCCCTAGAAACATGAAAAAATAGTTAGTACCCAGAAAATACTGTCCAGTTACGTAAGATATTTGGCTAATTCAGAACCTCCTCTAATACCTTCAGCTGCAATGAAAATGGAAAGCTGGTAGGGGTAGATTTATATCAAACATTTCTATAAAGTAGGGCTGTTAATTTTGGGTAGAGATAGCAATAGGTCATTAGACAACTATGTATTAAAACTAAATTACTGTCTTGGGGCATTACCAAGTCTCTTTCTTCAAGCCCATCACATACAACACTTCAAAATTCACCTTACATAGCAAGAGCACCTGAAGCCAAACTCAGATTTATCAGGCTCTCTAAAACAAACGTGTCTTCCTTGTACACTTGATTTGAAGAGGATTTGGACATATGAGTTCACCCACTCTCACACACTACACCAAAGCTCTGGACAAAGCAAATTGTCACCACTCTGCAGCTATTTTTTCCACACATTTAACTTCTGCCAGTTCAAATCCCCAAATAAAACTTTTCCAGCAACACAACTGCCCAGAAGTTTTTGAGTGAAAGCTGGACACAAAGCACTGTGGAACTGTAGGAAGGAGTGTCCTTGGACCAGAAAGCAAGCAAGGAAGCAAAGACAGCAACTCTGTCAGATTATTATGCATTCCCATGACCCCTTCCATGGCTCCAAAGACAGGGAGACTCCCTATGCAACTGAAACCCTAGAAAAACTTTGAACCAATTATTAGTTGCAAAACTAATGATTAGAAACCCAAGGCAAAATAACAGACATTTTTCCAGGGTCTTTCCTAGTTGCCATACCTATCAAACTCTCACAGACCTTGAGGTGAGGTTCAGTGACAAGCTTTGAAGAGTGCTCTCTGCAAATAAGCATCTTCACGGGAATAAAATTCAGGGCTAAACAGTTTCACAATCAGTGCAAGCTCATCGAAATCCCCTCCTTTTTCCTGCCTTACCAGGGATGCTGAATCCCTTTCCTGCCTGCCTTAGCAGCATTGCTAACTCAGCTCTCTGCCTCAGGTGAAAAGCAGTGCAGCAAAAGGTTAGGGCATGAATTTTCAGTCAAGTGGCAGAGCTGATCTGGGTGACCACATTGCCATATGCTAAGTGCCTCTAGGAACGTGCAGTGTGTTTGGGAGAGGTGAGGAGAAGGACAAGAGTCAAAGGAAGAAAGATTCATCCCCTCAGCCCTTTAGACAGAACTGCTAGATGGAACCGCTCAAGCCACATGAGATATAAGCACTGGAGATCTACATACTGACCTTGTACTACTTAGAGAATGTCTGATTTTAGCAGCTCCTTTAAAGGCAGCACACAAACCTACAAGGTTTAAAACAAGCTAGAGGGTATATATATCTCAAGAATAAAACACATGAATATTCAGGATATTATTTGTGCAAATCAGAGGGTATTAGGTGTGAGGAGTCCCAGGGTAAGACAGGCTCAGCAAGCCAACAACAATGAACCTCTTTGCCCAAGCACCAACAGGGTGACAAAGCTTTGGCAGCCTGCAGAGGAGAAATACAGCAACTCTCCCTCTGATATGAGCTCTGAGGATTTCCTTCCCAAGCTAACATCAGGACATGAAAAAAATAGAATATTCACATCTGCAAGCAGTTCTAATGCTCTGAGGAACGAGACTGGCTGTCAGCCCTGCACCACTTTAGAACTCCACTGCACTTTGAATGAAACACTTATTTTCTAGCTAAATGAAGTGTTTCCCTTTCTCAGTACCTGTTAATGTGTGCTTAGTGTGATTACTCTGCAAACTGAAGCACACAGGGAAAGGGGAGGCTGTTCAAACACAAGCTAGCTCATTCACTTCTCTGCTCAAACACAGACCTGCAGGCAAAAGTACAATTAATTAGGGACTCCAGTTATCTCTAAAAGAAAGATACTGCAAAAACATCAGGTGAACTGATTTAAATCTGCTGCGATGCTTTATAACAGCAACAGGAAACGGGAACTAGCTTCAAGGGACACCAAAGGCCTTCAAATAGGTCTATCATCATTTCAATATCTTCTAATCAGTGAAGTGCCACCTACTGATATTTTCTCATGGGGAAATGGAGAAAACTGTCATAGGAACATACTCATACATCTGTGTGCACTGAAATGGCAGTAGCACAGGACACAGCAAATGTTTACTGAGATTACAATTTCACTCATTGATTTTCAAGCATTTCATATCTGATTGTATATTAAAAAAATTCCCATCAAGAAGCTAAAATAAACTGTCATTCAGGACAATCTGATCACCCAAAACTGAGTCCTCCACAGCACCACATGAGGCAGTAAACTCCTTCAAGGAGTCAAAGGCTGAAAAGACTTATTGATTTTCTGCTTCAGCCTAAGCACACTCAGCGATAAAGAACACTGCATTAATGCAACTCCCAGGGGGATACAACGCTGACCTTTCCTCAGCAGCAAAATTACAAAGAAAAGTAAGACAACAATTTTCCTTCACAATGTCCTCAACATCTCCAAAAATTATAGCATCCAATAACCCTCTCTAATAAGTTGAACTGTTATCTGTTCAAGCACCAGCAGTGAGAGGTTCCTGCCTGGTGAGAGGGAGAGCTGTGCTGATCACATAACCAACTAGTGTGTAGCAGCACAGCAAAAGGTTTCTGCTTCAAATACACAGCTTGAAGAGGGAAAAAAGACAAAGAATGAGTGTAACAAGGGGTTCACAGGAAGAGTTCAGGAGAAAACTCACTCCCACCTTAACTGATGAATGGGTATTTTACCTCTGTGAAAGAGCCATCAACCTCAATTAATAAATCTGCCCACAAGGATAGGGAGTTTAGGGGTTTTTTTTAAACACTTGCAATTTTAGCTTCAGTCACAAGGCAATGGCACCTGTACAGCTCAAATCAGGTGTTGCAAATAAACACATGAGTTCTACTTCTAGAAAAAAAATAAACACACAAATCTACATCAAATCTGAAACATAACTTGCACTTCTTTAGGAAAAGCAACACAGTATCACATTACAATTCTGGCAGAGAGGGAATCAGATTAAATATTGTCCAACTGCTTCTGCAGAAAGGCCTGGTCTGACACCCACAGGACAGGATGCAGGTCCTCTCCCCATCCCCTTAGTATGGAAAACATTGTACATAAGGTTTGTCAGTGGTGCTGAAAAAAAACCCCAATGCATTAGGAATAGCCTCACACCCTCATTTTTCCCCTTAAAAGATGGATTTAAATAAAATGTTTCTTAAAGAAGAAACGGCAGCAAGAAATACAACAGGACTGGACACAAAGTCTCAAAGGTTCCTTCTGAAAGGACAATGCCCCCTCCATGTCTTGGGGGCACATTTAACATCCTTCTAAGGACAGGTTTGAGACAGCTGCTTTTCCACACTTTTTGGTCAATGTGTGCATGTAGAAAAATCACCTCAGAGCTGAAGCAGCCACAAAGAAACCCATTTAGAAAAAAAAAATGCCTGAGAATTTGTGTACAATGACACCACCAAGGGAGAGGAAAGTCTGTCTTCAGTGGTGTGGGGAGTGAGCCTGGGACTACCTGTGTGCACATAACAATACTGAGGTGCAGGAAGCAGGAAAGAAACACACTGTGCAAGAATAAAGCTCTGCTCCTTGAAAAGACATTCATCCCACATTAAGAATCCAACTACTTGTACATCTTTATTCTCAGAGCACTCCCAGCAAACAGCACTGCTGACAACAGCTGTACCAGCAATGCCACAGTGACATGACAGGTTGGAGACCATCAGCAAAGCCTGTCCAGTGCTGAATATATCACATGCAAATAGAGAGGCAAGCAGCCAGGTCTTCAGAACATCAGGAGCTCTTCAATCTTCGAAAGCATTCATCTCTTAGAATACCATTAAAGACTTTCAAGAGCAAAATGTTTCTAGGGCCAAATAATATTTACCCGAAAAGCTATGAAATTAGTCATGTCTTACTGCATGACAAACTGTATTGTCTTCATTCTCTAGTACTGCTCATTGCCAGTATCAGAGATTGGGACAAGTGTATCTACTAACGTGTTTGTTTAATGCATAAAGGTAGTGTGAATCATAGTGTGAATCTGACTTGCTAAAACCCAGGTCTCAAACTGATTCCACAGGATGCTAAAATCTAAGTTACCAATGGCCATACCAACAATTTAGCAGTTTATAATAACAAGCCAGTTTAGGCTTTGAGGTGAAAAAGTAATTAGACATTTCACTAAATTGGAAGAGCCCATGGAAGAGATGGGAACACCCTTTCAAACTGCAAAAAAGGCAGAAAGCATAGTGAAATGCTGAAAAGCAAATCAGACAGGGGCTCCTTCAGTGAGGTTGTCTCATTATACTGCAGGGCTATAGCCTACAAAGGAAAGGACACAGATCAAACAAATAAAATGCAAACAGTGTGTTCCAGGGGGACTTTCAGGTAGGGTAAGAGTTTTTCATTTAGGAGATCTCTAGCACACTAACATTTATGATGCTAAAAAAAGACAAAACAGAAGAATCCTCAAATGTGTGAAGAATGATGATGTATCACTACTTAAAACTTAATTGTGGTTTCAAAATCTGCTTTACTTTTCCAGTATAGGACTGAGAAATGTTCTGCACTGTGACCAGTTCCATGGTCAGTATCACACAGGATAAATGGCAACTAATTTACATCAATACCAATACAATTAATTCATACAAAACACAGGAGGAATCCAGGAAATCAAATAATGGAGGAAAATGCCAATGACTGCACAGCAACTGCATTAATTTAAGAGCTACAAACAATTAAAACTGATACCGATGAATTGGCAAAAATATATCAGAAATCCCTCCAAAGAAAAAGCCTCCACGTTTTTCACAGAGGGTAGAAACACAGCAGGCTCAGGACAGGAGCCCCAGCTCTCTTATAGAAGAGCACAAATGGCCCATCCATTTCATTCTGTCAACTAACATCAGTAATGCTACTTAAAAAAGTTCTTCACTAGCACAAAGTCCATCCCAGGACCCCTAGCTCCCCTCAAATGCACAAAGGCCAAG